TGCCATGTGATTGGTTGATTAGATAATTGCATTAATGAGAAATTGAACAGGTGTTCCTAATAATCCTTTAGGTGAGTGTATATGTCTGGTGTTTTTTGATTCAGTTTGATGATCAACCTCTAAAGGCCACTTCTTTAAAATTCTTAGCAAAATACCGAAATAAGTTACTGCTAAATTATTTTATTCCTTGTTTGAATCATCAGTGGCTATGCCCTGCTCATTTTCAAAGAGAGTGGCATGTCGCCTCTTGACTAAACTTTTGTGAAGCAAAGCTAATTCTTGACCGTTCCCCGTACCTCCCCCTCAACCCATCCTTGACTCGTTAAAACTTCACACTTCTGCATGCCTGGGGTGCCTTGTAACAGCTATAGTGTTAATCAGTATCCTGTAATGTGTTGTAAAACTAGCCCATATAATTTCACCCTAAAACATGATGACAGTGTTTTTACCATTAGAAAATAATGCATTATTATATAAAATAACACGTTGACAAGCACAACTAATGTTTTTTATCCCTTAAATTAAGATAACTAAGGCATTATTCTACCAAAGATTTTAAAATGTTTCGATGTATGTTGATATATACCGCTCACTAGTTCCTTCCGTTCTTGTTGCCTAATTGATTTATATCACACTCATCCTAATTTAAAATTTCGCTATGACAAAACAATCCTTATGCAATTTTAAGAAAGGCGTGAACTATATATGTCTGGTGTTTTTTTATAAGGCGCGTGAAGTTGTGGCTGTTAGGGGCCCTGTAATACCCATTTTGTTAAGGCGCGCCTACTGTCGGCTTGAGAAAATTACAACTGTTTCGCCGGGCTACCCTTGAGTGCGCGCTTGTGCGTGTACCCGTGGTTTTGCGGCGCTTGTGGGGTGTTTTCTGTAGTTTAGGCTGAATTTTTATACCGATTTAACAAATACAGCTAAAGTTTTTTATACCTTTAAACATGAACAAAAACAGTTAATGTCTTAAGTAGCTGAACCTCGTTCCCCCCACTGCGACCATTAGCTGTCTGGCATATCAAAACAAGTGAATCAATGCTAGACCGTATTATTTCACCCTAAAAACATACTGGCTACGCTTTTACTGACATAAAATAGTGCATTTGCTTAAAATAACAAAACACAGCTATTGTTTTTACCATTTAAAAACGCAATACCCTCTTTCATCTATAGCTAGAAAAGATTGACGAGACCCAGAGCACGGTTAAAATTACGCTACTAAAAGTTTTATTATCCTTAAAACGCATTTAAACCAGTACATTAATAAACATCTGTAATGTATTTTATTCTTTAAAAGACTAATGACCCCTGGGGTGTCTTACGAATCATTATTCTTTGTTTAATGCATGGTTTCGTGTAAACATCGGCGATATTTATGACTACACCATATGTCTAATAGCCTGGGAGCAGATGATTGTACCCCTTGTTTAATAACTTGTGAACCTGTTTGATTCTACCCCCATGTCACCTCCGGCAGGTGCGAACTTCCGTGCATGTCCGCTGTGATATGCTTAGCAGACACGTTTGATGTTTTTAGCCCTTAAAAATAATATTCCCATGGCATTATTCTAACATAGTATGTTGCTAAATACCGCTCACCAGTTCCTACAGCTATTAAATGTATTTAAATAAAATCGGGGCATCTTGTTTAAAATAAAACTAACAAAATACAAGTAAATACATCTTTTGTAAGTTATAATGTTTTATTCATTTGATTAACCAAACGTAGATGACTAGCTAAATGTCGCTAAACAACCCGAGGTGTGGTGTTAGAGATTGACTTTTATTTAAATTAGAAATATGTTTTTTATACTATTTACAAATAGAGTTAATGCGCATTCTGTCAGGATTGCGGCGTGCTTTCACAATTAAGGGCCATGGCTATGCTCAGGCTAACAATTTCCGCCGATCGCCAATTGAACGTGTGTCGGTGCGAGCACGCCCCATTCCCCCCACCGCTCTTCATTTGAAGCGCAAGTTTTGAATTGGCCGGCACAGTGTTGCAAACTATTTTCAATGGAAAGTAGCTAAAGTCTGCTCGAAAAGTCGCCAAATGTCGCTAGATGACGTCATGCATATATTTGCATATTGATGACGCAATTACGTCATATTTGCATTTTGCGTGTTTTCCCTAATCCTTCCTCACGTGTCCAATATAAAACTATCAATTACGTTACATATTTTCTGTCAGACAACATTTATATTATACGTATATATGTTTTTTTATGTGTATATAAGTTTAATAAGTTTAATGAAGTTTATCGTTGTGTATGAGTAAGTAGAATCACATACAGTCAATCAGATGTAGCTCAGTAAACGATCTCAGACGAGTTCAGAAACTGGAATGAACTTAAGCTCTGTAACAGTGAGTAATATAAGTGCATCAGAAGAAAAAATAAATAAATGAGAAAAAATAAGAAACGGTCAAATTTTATTTCAAGCAAAGGAGAAGCAGGTAAGTGATTGGTCCGTGGCAACACCGTTTGCACATGCGCAGCTCATTCACATCTATGTCAGCTGCCGTGCGGTCACAGGAATATGCTGCTCCTTTCAGCCAGAGATAGCGCTCACTGATCAGAGCAGACACAGGGAGATGAGTAACTGTACCGGGAAAGCAAGACCTCGCGCTTACAGGACAGTATTGGCGACATTTGGAAAGTTGCTAAGGTTTGTCCAAAAGTCGCTGGATTTGTTGCTAGGCGCTTTTTTGAAAAAACGTCGTCAAGGGGGTCTGAAAAGTCGCTAAATCTAGCGACAAAGTCACTAAGTTGGCAACACTGGGCCGGCAGCATGCCGGGTTCGCTTTGTTGCGGGATAAAGGCCGCCTTGCTACACTGACGGAACCCAGAGCCGCTATCGATGGATCTTCGCGTTTGGTGAAAATGCTTTTTCTCTTTTACATTGAAATAAACTGTTAAACTGAATACAGCTTTTCTCGTTTTTAAAAACTTGTGCTAAAATGTTTGTGCTTTTCGCTCGGGTATGTCTCTAGTTTAAAAGTTAAAGTTTGGGACTTGTGTCGTTTGTGCTTAAAATACGGTGGTTTATCTTGACAGTGTTTCGCTCGTTCATGTCTACTTGATTAAATTTCGCCTGCTCTGGCTTTTCTTTCTTACTTTTTAAAAGTAACACTAAAGTTTTTCTTGCTTAAAACATTTTGATGCTTTCTTCTTTTAAAATACGCCGGGGCGCTCGTGTCTACTGCGGATGGACGGAACCCCGCAGGACGTGTATGCCCTAGCTTACGTTCATCCTGCTATGTTTTATTATTCCTTAAAACGTAATTAAAAATAACACATTAATAAAATACATGTAATGTATTTTTATTCTATTAAAGTTTAAACGGCAACCATATGTCCCCCTATCGGCAACATGTGGCATAAGCATGTATGGTACCATTTGGCCAAAACCCCCTCCCCCCCGACCAATCAGATCAAAGGATACGCCCTCATCCGCTTATGACGTCATAGATGGGGGCCACAAAATAGGCCTAAAAATTCTAAAAATTTGCATGTTTTGCACATGGCTAAAGCCAAAACAAAATGGAGCCAGAACATCATCTTTGTTCAAACTGTAGTCTTCCTCAACATTCATTTTTTGGTACTCCTGCACAGCCTTCCCAACATCTTCCTCTATCATGCTCTGTATCTGGGGCAGCTGGACCAGACCGATGAATTGTGGTTGATTGTTAATGCACCACTGACTGGCTGTTTTTATGTGTGCAATGACAGATACCTTAGACATGAATAAAGATTTGGTTTATTATTTATGTAAATGTGTTTTATGCAATTATTATTGATATATTAAAAACAGAATGAAAAAACTTACTTCTACTTTTGCCGGTGTTAATGCATCCTCACATTCATCCTGTACCTGCAAAACATAACACTTGTTGTTTCAGGCAGTACTCAACCTCTCTGGAAAAAACTGAACTGGACCACCTTGGATTATTTTCAGACATCCCACATTTTCTGTAGTTCCAGAAGTCTCCTGCATACAGCTTCTTGACACACTCAGATGACATGACACAGAACATCACAAAAATGTGTTTTTTTTTGTGTGCAGTAGTCATTGTGAGACTGAGGGGGCATTCTGATTGGCCTCTCTTTGCGCTAAGTAAACCTACATGATTTCTCTGTATGTGGGGTAAACAAACACACCTTAGGGTCCGACTTAGATTCACTTCATTTGTGGCTACATCCCATAACTTTTATTTGTGCTACCGTCCATTACAATCTTTCCATCACAAAGGAGTTTTCCAAATTTCAAATGTTTAAGTGCTATCCAAATACCTTAGTGTTACCTCCCTGAATTGAGTTTTGCTGGGTTGGATGTCTGAATTTGTACCAGCTTCCAAAAAGATGTGAATGAGCTATATTGAGCATACCACCAATGTCTTATTAATGCTGTTTTTACTTTCTATGAGATTTGTAGCAGAGCACTGATGGCACTTCTGCTGGGAGTGTTTCTGTAGAGCTTTTCTGAAATTTATTGCTTGAGTGAAACGTATTCAATAAATTGAAAATTTGTACCTGCACTGTCTCTTCAAGCTTTCTTTTGCGTAGGCAGAATACAGGCTGCCGTTCACCACTCAAGAAAGCCTTGGACTCCTCTGTCCAGTGGGCAAAAAGTTTGCCATGGCTGAAAAAAGGAAATGGTTCAAATAAATAAATAAAATCCAAATGCAACTACTGTAAGAAACATGGAAGTTAAAAGTAATAAGTAAACTTGAAGGCAATTCTTGAAGAAACTGTATGATTGCAGTGTACTAATAAAGTTTATAGCTGATTTGGCTGTTAGTTAAAGCAACACTCCTTAATGGTTAGAACAGTTGAGATTAGCCAGTGTTTTTAGCTGAAAACTATTAAACAGTGAAATAATGTAAATGAAAGACCGTTAAATCCTGATAAACTAAGAAGCTGTCATTGCCACTGGGGCTACTGACATTATAATGGCTGATTTGGCCCTTAGATGTCATAGATATGTTTTGTGTGCTGCATCTCCTTACTACTGAATAATAACTATATGGGGAAAATCTGGTTTAAAAAAAAGAGGTTTGCTGTTTTGCTCTCGGCTCAAGAAGTACAAATTTAAAATCCCTCCCATAATTACACAATATGAGTCATCAATGGTTTTTCTACGACTAAAACTGTGGAAAAAACACACTTCAAAGTGGAAAGAAAATGAAAAAATGTCAAGAAAAATGATTGCTTGTCCAGTCCAAAGTTCTCCATCAAAAGCAAACACCACCACTTCTGAAGGGCAGACATGTCCAGCTGAACACAAAATAAGTACATTAATGCCATCATTGATTTACATCATTCATTTGTTATTTCTGAAAATTGAATTACAACAATTATAATGAAAAGTGCTGACTATTGTGTAATCAAAGGGGGCATCAAGTGCTATGTACAGGGCCATCTGTAAAAAAAAACAAACAAACAGTATTAGTATGAAGGGGGAAAACATTAAAAGGACAAAATAACCAACATGCATCTCACCATTAGCATGAAGATTCCACAGTCATTTCCGTATGTTTGTTGGGGAAACCTCTTTTAGGAAAATGAAAAAGAAACCATTTGTGAGTGTGTCAATTGTTTTGCATCGATTTTTTATTACCTCTGTGGCCCACCACTCATTTATTTTTTGTCATGTATTTCTATTGACCTAATGCACTGTTTTAGATTTATATTCTATATTCCATGCGCTGACCTTCCCTGTCCTGCAACCTGTATTACAAAATATATACAATATCAAAATTTCTATATTTGTGCCAGCAAGAGAGAAAGGAAAAGAGAGAGAGAAAGACTGAGCAGGCATCCTGATTGGTCTCTCTATGGGCCAAGTGAACCTACATGATTTTCTGTAGGCAAGACAAACACAAGCTTACAACTAACACATTGTACTACATACTTGTAAAAATGTAAATATATAATATTTACTTCTAACTCAAGTCCGGTCTTTTCACTCCACTGCCCTGGATTTATCCTATTTGCGAGATCCCTGTCAATTGTAGACAAAGACATACAAATCTAAACAAAACAGAAAATTCAATTTTAAAGCTTTTTGAAGGATGGTCATAAGAACGTTCCATCCCAGAACAAGGTCTGCAGAACATGACCTTATGCATGCATTAGGCAAATACAGACACTGCTCTACACGCTCAACTTACAAACAGTCAGACATACTGTACTGTACGAACAAAGAGGACTGTAAGTCCAAATTGTGTTCATTAGGCTTCCGTTTCCTGTCTGCAACATAAATTTTTTTTTCTGTGCCAATTCCGCGTAGTACGACTTCTGCCTGTTACTCCCACCGCACAGCTGCGTAGCGTACATACTCCCAGCATCCTAGTTCTTTGTACTTGCGTAAACCCTTAAAATGATGTTGAATAATGAGCTTCTGTACATGCAAAACTCTGGAACTCCTGCGAGATTGGTCATAAGAACGTGACCATCTCAGAACACAAATTAAGTTTTCATTATTGTAACCTTAACAGAGCTGTGTATCTTTGAGTACCAAATCCACCTGGTGCCTGGAAACATTTCTAGGAAGAGAAGCTCTCTCTGCACTGGCTTCAGAACCTGAAGAATATTTTCATTCAATGTTGAATGAACACTGCAGTAACTTTAAGAACAAAGGTAAACTACACTAATTAATGTGGAATGGGATTGAAGATGGCATGCGTAAATTTCCATGTGGGTTAGGTTGGTCTTAGACATATATAAACAGTGGCCGTTCTCGTTTGACCGACCGACACGAAATTTGGAGGATCTGTCTGTGGTACAGACATACATTAGCGAGAGAAATTTGGTAATGATTGGCTGAAGCATGCCTGAGATATAGCTGTCTGATTGAAATGGACATGGCGCCAGTAAGGTCATGGTGTGGCTTTTGGCCGTACCTTACCGAAAGTTTGTTTTTTTCTCTAAATCTTTAAAAGTACTGTCTCCTGATTTGAATGGCACCAGATTAATGTAGGTGGGGCGAAAATCCTAGGAGCTTAACGAAAAAGCCTGTTTTCAGACAAATATAAATCATTCAAAAACGCAACGATGTATCACCAAGTTCTATATGTGCTTGGATTTGGCACGCCATGGTGAATTGGACTGGCAATCAATTTCAACTGTAGGCTTGATAATTCTGGAGTAATAGGCAGAAATGCAAATGGGGCCACTGTAGCGCCCCCATCTGGCCGAGTGAGTTGTCCTTTACAGGGTTTGCAGAGGGTCAGAGCATGAATGTACCAGCTAAATTTGGTTTTGATTAGTCATTGTTAAGCCTGTCAAATGGCTGCTTGATATTGATTGGCTAATGGCGGCCAATCTTTTATGATTTATGACTGCAATTGTACATGGCTGTCCAAATTTGGTAAGCCTAGGTCTTACGGATTAGGCTGGGCATTCAGTTTTAGGGAAGAAAAAAAAAGAAGAAAATCCTAACAAAAACAATAAGGTTCCCTAGCACTATGTGCTTTGGACCCTTAATAATGGTCCATAAGCATTTCATGCTTTGGACCCTTAAAAAGAGAAAAATCCTAAGAAAAACAATAAGGTTCCAATGCACTACGTGCTTTGGACCCTTAAAAATTAATATAGGTCTACATAGAAGCAACATTACTGATGCAATACCTAACTGAAAATTCACTGCTCTTACCTGATGCCCCCCAGATTTTTTGGAAAACCTTGTCATAACATTGACGTGTTCTCATCTCTGCTTGTAACCTTGATAACATGTCCATGCGAGAACCCTTGAAATCAATATTGCAGGCCTTGCAGAGTTTTCTGATAACTCCAACCTAATAGAGGTGTCAGGGACCGAGATGGAAGGCACAGCTAGTTGGAGTTGTTCAATTTCCTGCATTTAGCCCAGCTTCCATGTTGGCCACCTCTTTGACTGGAGCAACAAGGAATCCTCCCCTGCACTCCACACACGGTAAATCAAAGGAAATAATTTAACTCAATAAATACTTAACACATTATTCCAGTTAACTAAACGTGCGCGCCTCGTCTAGTAACTGGTTAAATGTGACAAATAAAGAAATACATAAACAAATTAAATAGTAATTACTAATTTAGTGCACTTAAACTAAACAAACTCCAACATAGAATAACAAATGACCATAAATAATACTTCCCTTCAAATTAGCTGTGTGGCTGTGGGGGTAGCCATCACAAGAGGTAATAATAAAATGTAATTAAGCATGCCATAACAAAGATCATAGTTCTCCTACAATTTATCTTAATTGTGTAGGATCACACATGCACATATCACAGGGCCTAAATTCCAGGTGGCCTGAGACAAGGCCGAGCCTGGTACGAGAGGCACCAAAGGGGGATTACACACATAAACACACACACACAGATAACAAGGGAGGCCAGCACTCCAACTTTTATTGCCCAAAGATTTAGGGACCTACAGGCAAGCAGAGTGGACTTCATGGACAGGGGTCCCTCGACTTGGCACACGACCCCCCCTCCCCATACACTCTGCCTTGAGGCAGAGGGTATGTGGAGGGGGGTTGTGTGCCAAGTCAAGGGCAATAAAAGTTTGAGTGCTGGCCTCCCTTGTTATCTGTGTGTGTGTGTGTGTTTATGTGTGTAAG